CTCCAGCCGCCTGCGCTACTTGGCTCGTGGCCCCTCCTCCATCTTCAAGGCCAGCAGTGTAGCACCTTCAAATGTTCCCTTCCCTGCCTTCCTCCTTCATTTCTAAGGACCTGGTGATTACAGGGGCCCACGCGGATACCCCAGGATCCTTGATTTCATCACATCTGTGAAGTCCCCTTGGCCATGTAAGGTGAACACATCCAACAGGTTAGGGATTAAGATGCGGCCATCTTTGGGGGGGACAATTGCTGTGCCTACTGTGAGCAGTCAACTAGGAAAATGACCAGCATATTCCAAAGGAGTAAGCAGAAACACACTGGGATCTTCCCTCTGCCCAGAGACATCCCACGGCTCCCCTGAAGTGTCAGCAGTGCGCTTGGTGAGAGTGGCCTCAATCCGCCTGGCATCACCAACCTTTATTATTCTTTTTCTTGCCCAGAATTCTTGGTTTAAAAAGATCCTTGCTCCCCAACATAGTGCATCATCGATGAGTTATGCTTCTGGCATTTACTGTTCTTTTCTCAGGCAGACACACCTACCACTCCAGCCTCTCTGCTGAGTCAGAGGCAGCCCGGCCAAAGGCACGGACACTGGATGTGTAGGTCAGTTCCAGGCCTGACCTGAGAGAACGCAAAGCTGCTACTGGGAATTCTAATCGCACAATCAAGGGGCCAGAGCGATGGGCAATTAGCAATGTGAAGACAGAAACAACATAAGAAGAGTAAAGATGAAAGTCAGTGCACTTTAATAATATCTAATAGCATCTCCAACTAAACCTGTCCCAGGCTGAGCTCCTGGGCCTTTCTGTGCAACCCGCCCCTCCTCCAGGCTGCACGTCACACCCAATCCACAGGAAATCCTGCTGGCTCCACCTTCCAAACAAATCCACTGGTTATTCATTAGTCAGGGGAAAAGGAAAGGTTCTTGGAGTGGTCACCCCTTTAACCAAGGGCTCCAAGTTACCATCACAAATGACGGAAGAACAGACATCAGTAGCCCCCTGAGGTGATGTCCTCAGGATACACCGTCATGCCTGTGATAGTCCTGCCAAAGACGCTCAGTGTAAACCAAATCAGAGGGAATGATCAGAAAACTCGAGGTTGGGGGACATTCCATGGAATTCTTGGACTCTTCCAAATGTCAATGTTATGAAAAATAAGGAAGAACAGGAATGCTGTTATAGAACAGGATCAGCAAACATTTTCCATAAAAGGTCACCGAATAAATATTTTAGATTTGTGGGCCATACAAACCCACCTTTGCAGCTACAGACCAAATGCAAACAAATGTGTGTGGCTGTGTTCTAATAAAACTTTATTTATGAAGACAGGCAGTGGGCCGATTGCAGAGTCCTGTTGTAGACTAAAGGTTACTAAAGAGACATGATAATGAAATACAGTGCTTGATCCTAAGCAGATCCTAGATTAAAAATAATAATAAACAATGCATATAAGCATAACCCATGGAGAGGGGTGAGGGCATGTGCTGGGGGGTGGGAACGGCCGGGGAGAAGTCAATGGAGGAAAAAGGAGACATATGTAATACTTTAAGCAATAAAGAATTTAAATTAAAAAATAATAATAAAGAGTAAAAAAAGGGCTTTGGGAGGCAATTGGAGAAATCAGAATATAAGCTATATATTAATATTGTTATCAATATTATTGTTATCAGTATTAAAATTCTCAGGTATGATATTGACACTGTTATATAGAATGTTTTTGTTCTTAAGAGATACAGGCTGAAATATTTAGGAGTGAAGTGTTACATCCATCCACAACCTATTTTCAAAGTGTTCAGGGGGGAAAATGTGTATACATACATACACGCATACATATGAAAGCAAAGACACAGCAAATTTGTTGAAGGCTAATAATGGATGAAATAGGTAGTAACGGGTATGTAACTAATGACTACACCATTCTTTTTTTCAACTTTTCTGTGGGTTTGGCAATTTTAAATGAAGAGTTGGGGGGAAATTTCTCCAGAATCTGACTTCTCCTCCTCACTCACCTCCCACCTGGACTACTGTGTTGCCTCCTCCCTATATCCACCCCTCATCCTATGATTGCCAAATGACTGCTATCTATATATATATATAAAAGGCTAATATGCAAAGTGTCCCCTCGGCAGTTCGACCGGGAGTTCAATCGCTCACTATGACATGCGCTGACCACCAGGGGTGGCACGGAACAAAGGAAGACCCCAGCCAGCAGCCAGAGGCCCTGATCGGCCCTGATCACCAGCCAAGCCTAGGGACCCTACCCGTGCACGAATTCCGTGCACCGGGCCTCTAGTTAAAATATAACGCAGAGCCTTGGCCCGGTAGCTCAGCTGGATAGAGCATTGTCCTGATACACCAAGGTTGTGGGTTCAGTACCCAGGTCAGGGCACATACAAGTACCAACCAATAAATACATAAATAAGTGGAACAACAAATCAATTTGTGTCTCTGCCTCTCAAATCAATAAATTAATTTAAAATTATATATATATCACAGATCCTGTCCTTCCTCTGCTCAGACCCTCCAGTGAGTCTCACCCACTCAGAGTAAAGCCAAAGCATCTGCAGTGGCCCACAGGCCCTACACAGTCTGCCCGCCTTGCCCAGCACCACCAGTTTCCCCTCAGCCCTCAGTCTCCACTTGATCTGTCTGCTCGGCCGCACTTGCCTTGCTGTTCATCCAACATGCCAGGTACAGTCTCACCTCAGGGCCTTTGCATGTGCAGAACCTTTGGGCTAGAATGTTCTCCCCCCCGACACCTGTACTGTTTGTTCCCTCCTGAGTATTTTCAGTGAGGTCTCCCTAATAATCCTATCTACACTTACAACCTGCCCCTAAATACTCCTCCTGCATCTCGGGTGTTTTCTCTAGAACAGTTATTGCTATCTAATACACTTCATATATTAACTATTGATTTTGTTTATTGTCTGGCTTCCCCCCAGAATGTAAGGTCCCTGAGGACAGGATTTTTTGCATTTTCTTCTCTGCTGTATTCACATCTACACATATACATCTGTGAACCACTGACTTAACATTGTATATCAGTTTACTCCTCACAACACGTATTATATATAGCATAAATTCGTATATAGTACACAAAATGGGAATATTAGTATACACATCTCATAATAATGTGTGAGAATTGAATGTTAGAAGGCCTGTGAAGTGCTCAGCACACTGCCTAGCACAAAGTGAGGGCGCATTAAATGTTGTGATTATAAAATACCCACAGAAGAGGAGACTGAAGCTCTGATTGGTTAAATGACCAGCCCAAAGCTACCTGGCCGGGAAGACGTAGGGCCCAGAATGGAACCCATGTCAGCCTAACTCAGGAAGCCACCTTCTAAACCACAATGCGAAGACATATCAGTGTTTGGGAGAAAGGCAGTGGCAGGAACAGAAACCAGCACAGTCCAGGATTTAAGTCCTGCCTTTGGCACAAACTCATGTGTGACCGCAGCAGTTCACTTCTGCTCTTGAGGTCTCCATTTTTTTCTTCTATAAACTGGGAGAAGTCATTTCCCATCCCTGACATAGGGACAAAATAGTGTGAAACTCAACTAAGATAAGCTGATAGGAGAGTACTTGGTAACTGTGCAATCCAATACTTTTCCAGGCTAAGATCTGCAGCTGTGGCAAAGGGCCCACCAAACAAACGCCAATGGACTAAGAATTGTAGGTTCCAGAATGCAAACCTTAAGCACCCAAACTTATAAGAAAAATAAAAAATGGTATGTGTTCCTCTTAACCACTTGGCCTTTGCCCATGCTTCTCCCGCTCCCTCGACATCACCCTTGCCCCCCATGTTGTCTGGTGAGGTTCTCCTCACCCTGAGGCCATCCCTGAACCCCAAGGCAGGTCAGGCATCCAGTGGGCAATCCCATCCCAGCTCTGCCCACTCTGGTTGTCACTCTTGCAGAATGGGTCAGTCGCTACTGGACTGAGCTCCTTGAGGGCACAGATTGGGCTGACTTGGTCCCTGCTGTCTCACCAACACTGCCCAGCACAAGGCCAGGCACAGAGTCGATGCTCAGAAAATACTAGCTAAATGAAGTAATGGATAGATGGATGGATGAGCCAACAAATTATGTCAATTTCCTTATTCTGTGCTCCCATAGGCCTATTCATCTAGTTCATCTTTTTAAAGTAGCTTGTATTTTGAGTGTTTACGATGCCCTTTAGATCTCAGCTCGGGCTGCCCTCGTCTAGACACCATGACCCTGGATCAGGTGGCCTCTCTGAGCTCCAGAGTTCCCACCACCCTGACCACTCGGGGGTGACAATGACGGGTCATGAGGGTCTCTCCCAGTAACCAGCAAAAAGCCAGCATGGGCTGTCTCTTGAATAAATGGACGAGCAAACACGGTGTATCAGTGGATTAAGGAACAGACGGATGAGTGTCTGTCCACTCTGGTTAAATTGCCTTTTTGCCGGATTCTCAGGCCACCTCCCCAGACCGCAACTTACTTTTGCCCCGAGACACGCTCCTAACCCAGTCCTATTTCCCGGAGTATTAACTGGGGCAAACCGCTGTCCTAAACGAATGACATACAAGCACCTTTAACCTCCCAAGACAAGAGGAAAACTGAGGCACGAGATGGAATTTTGGAAGCCAAGAAACCCAAGGATGGCTGGGCAAATGACTCCGCCTAGTCCCTCCTCCGCTAGCCCCCTAGCTCCTCTCAGCCCCGGAGGGCCCGGTACAAATTACTCTCGTCCCACACTATTGGTTCGCCCAGACATCAGTCGCCACGCGCTCTCTTACTCTATTGGCTGGTATTTTCAACACGGGAGCTAGCGCCCTGCCCCGCCCCTTAGCTCACGCCCGCCCTTGCAATTGGACTCGCCGCAAGCCCTTATCCCAGAAACCCTCCCTATTGGCTGCAAAACTTTGCCGGTTCGGGCTGTGATTGGTCGTGAACAGAAGTCCAGCCCCTGAACAACCACCTGAGAGGGGTTGGAGAATGGAAAGGTTGGAGGGACGTGGGGTCAGACTCACGCTGAGCCGGCGGGAGGCAGACATAGGTCTTGAAGAACTCGCTTCGGCGGGCTCCCGCCTTAATGCGGTTGGCAAGGGGCTTGCTGATCTGCCGGATGCCCAAGTATAGCAGCTTCGCCATGGGGAACGCGCCCACCACCATCTTGGCGGTCGCACGAGGGACTCGTAACCCTCCTGACTGGGCGGGGCGCCTCCAACCTCGCCCTCCTCCTCCGCCCGCTTGTCGCTGTGCGTGCGTGCGTGCGTGCGTGCGTGCCTACGCTCGGGGGGGAACCGCAGGGGCGCTCCCTGACGTCACCTCGTCGCGCTTACGCGCCGACGTCGTTCGCTGAATATGCAAATGTACGGCGGAAGCGAGGCGGTCAGAGGGCAGTGTCGTTAAACGGCTGATTGCGGGAGCGTGGATGGGTCCCCCTTCCGCGCCGGGTGGTGTTGCCACGCTCTTTCGTGACGTTACCTACCTAGGTGGTCGCTCGGCCCCAATGAGGCTCTCAATTAGTCCTAATTCGGGCTAATGAATCCCAAATACGCCTACCCCCGCAGGTTAGGGCTGTCACTGGGATTAAGAGAAAACTGGCTGTGTAGTCATACAGACCTGGTTTGAGAGCCCAGCTCCGTCATTCATTCATTTGCTGTGTGATATTACGCGAGTGACTTAACCTCTCTGGGCATCAGTATTCTCATCTACAAAACGTGAATCATGATAGCACTTACTGGGTTGCATGTGCATCTGAATGTAAAAATATAGCGAACTCTGTTAAGTGCTTAGAACGGTGCCAGTCACATAGTAACTTAATAAACATTTAATAAACAGCCCTTATTACTATACACGTATTAGTGTCATCATTGCTAACTCTAGTGGGAGGGTGCATTTCATCGCCAGAGGCAGCTAAGAAAACTGGCGTGTAGTCATACAGACCTGGTTTGAGAGCCCAGCTCCGTCATTCATTCATTTGCTGTGTGATTACGCGAGTGACTTAACCTCTCTGGGCATCAGTATTCGCGTCTACAAAACGTGAATCATAATCGCTCTTACTGGGTTGCATGCGCATCTGAATGTGAAAATATAGCGAACTCTGTTAAGTGCTTAGAACGGTGCCAGTCACATAGTAACTTAATAAACATTTAATAAACAGCCCTTATTACTATACACGTATTAGTGTCATCATTGCTAACTCTAGTGGGAGGGTGCATTTCATCGCCAGAGGCAGCTAATCCAGCCCTCTCCCAAGCAACAGAGGGGCAGGGGGCTGGCACAAGGTCCCTCAGCCGGCAGAGGTTGAGAGCCCAGCATTTCGGCCAGTAAAACCATACCCGGTCTCAAGCAGCCCCACTGCCTCCATCGCGGGGCGAGGGTCCCCAGGGAGCTGGCTCAGGAAGGAGTTTAAGGACATGTTCCAGCCTGTCCTCCCTTACCCAGCAGGGAGCAAAATCATATAAACAGGGTCAGGAAGGGGTTGAGAGAAGTTTCTGGGTGGTGGAGTGCTGATGGGTAATTGAGAGGCTCCAGGAGCGGCAGAGGGAGATGAAGAGAGGAGCGGAGGAGTGGGGTGCAAGAGGACACAAACCTTCAGCACGTAGAGTCGGGAGACCCTGGGCTTTCCTTGTATCCACTCTGACTCCCCGACCATCCTTTGTCAAGTCCCAGGCGCTGGTGTTCCTGTTTCTTCATCTGTAATAATGATGGCACTGACATGTGTGAACCCAGATATTCTAAATCATGTAGTAAGCGTGACAAGACCATAAAACAAACCTCCCCTGGGATCCCTTCTGGACAAAGTGTGAGGGAGCTTGGAGCCTATCCAAGGTCCATACCCACAAGGGACCAACCCCCTCCCCATTTTACAGACTGGCTAACTAAGGCCAGAGAATGAAAAGGATTTATCCAACATTCCAAGGGTCATCAGGATGGAGCTGAAGGCTGGGATTTCACTCCCTTTCTTTAAAAATGTGATTTTGTTTTTAAAAATATGTTTTTATTGATTTGAGAGTGAGAGAAAAAGAGAGAGAAACATTGATGTGAGAAACATTGATCCACTGCCTCCGCACACCCCACAACTGGGGATTGAACCCGCAACCTGGGCATGTGCCCTGACCGGGAATCAAACCCAGCGATCTTTGATTGCACAGGACTGTGCCCAACCGACTGAGCCACACTGGCCAGGGTGAGGCTGGGATTTCTTGAGTCCCACCCCAATTTTCTGTATAATTCACTGCTGTTTCCTCAGCTCCTAGAACAGTGCCGGGCACATAGTAGGTGCTCAATAAATATTTATTGAATGCAAATGAGCATTTGGTGGAGGGTAATGTGCAGGCTTTCGTCTCATCCTCTGAGGAGACTGTGTTCAAAATATCTGACCCCCTGCAACTCCATCCCAATAGCTTTATGGTGGTGAGACAGGATGGGAAAATTACCAGAGCCCCCAGATCCTAGACCCCCCCTTTTTCTCTCCCAACACCAAAGCCCCAACTTCCTGCATCTCAGTAACCCCCGCCCCTGCAAAACCATTTTCTTCATTAAGTTCTTCCCCCCCCCCCCCCCTCCCATCCTCCCTCCTCTTCCTTTCTCTGAGAAGGGTTTCCAGGAACCTCTTCTGGGAACTTCTGGGGCAAGGGTGTGTGTGGAGAGAGGTGGGGGGGTCGTCACATCTCATCAGGAGCTTGAAGCCTGTTAGGTAACCAAGAAAGGTGAGGCCGGTCCAGAGGGGGGTGCGTCCTCCTGTTCTCCAGCCCGGCTATAGGAGGACCATTCCTGGTGACCTCTGGGGGCTGAGAGAGGGAGGGAGAGACCAGCCAGAGCAGGCAGCCTTGGCCACTCTGGGGCGTGGGAACAGAGGCAGCGACCGGGAGGGGAGAGGGAACCCAGGATGGCCCCAGGCTGACTCACCGGCTGTGCGACTCCGGGCTAGTCTCTTGGCCTCTCCAGTGACCACCCCGGAATAGGGCCTGGGATCGCTCCCAGAGGTCCTTCCAGCTCAGGCTCTCAGTCACCGTTTTCCCAGGATGGGCAGGAGGCTCATGCTACACAATCCCCCAGGCCCCCGGGCTTCTTCCCTCATTGTGTTTCTTCAAAGTAAAAACTCCAAAGCAAGCGCACCACTGTTCCTTGCTCAGTCCTCCGCCCACCTCGGTCCCCCTGCCAGCATCTCCCACCTGGGCTACTACACCGCTTCACGGGGCTCCCAGCTTCCGCCCTAACTTCCCCTATTCTGTTCCCCACTCAGCAACCAGCGGGACCTGGTTAACATTGAAGTCAAATCACAAATCACGTCCCACCTCTTATGGCTCCCATTTACCTCAGAGTAAAAGGTAAAGTCCTCAGCAGGACTTTGCGAGCCCCGAAAGATGGGCCTCTGTCCCCTTGCCAGTCTCACTCCCACTTCTGTCACCCCCCATCTGCTGTAGGCACACCGCGGTCCTACTGCGCCTCAGAATTCAGGCACTCTCTGACTCCAGGGCTTTCCACTTGCTGTTCCCTCTGCCTGCGATGCTCTTCCGAAAAGGGGCCCCTCCCCTCCTCCAGGACTTTGCTCAAATGCCACCTTCCCAGTGAGCCCTCCCCTGACCTCATCTAGCTCAGACTCCATGTCCCTCTGTCCCTTCATGTGGCTTTATTTTTACCCAATATACTTATCAGTTCCAAACTTTGTATTTATTTTGATTTACTCCCTTACCGGGCGCCCCTCGATGGTGGCTCCGGGGCTGTCTTGGTCACCACTGCGTCCCCAGCCCCAGCCCGCACAGGGCCAGTGGGAGGTACAAATAAACCTGTTGACTGAAGGGCTCCTCTGGCCAGTCTTCTTGATGGCCCTCCACTTGGGTTTGGACATTCTCCCTCTTCTTCCTCAGTCCTGACTCGGAGAATGTTAATCTGAAAACTCAGAAGTGCTCTGTCCTGCTCACTCTCCCCTACATGACGGGGGCTTCCCTACAGCAAAAGTGATCACTGCACACTCAGTGGGTTTCTCCTTCCGCCTTCCCCTTGAGTCACCCCCTCATTGGAAATCATCCTCACGTGGGGTTTTTTTGTGTTTTTTGGCTTCACCTCTGGAAACTTTATGTACTGGTCTCCTCCTCCAGGAAGCCCTCCCTGTCCCCCAGACTGGGTCAGATGCCCTTTGCAGTTCCCCCAGACCCTGGCCTCTCCTGTCTGAGCCCTGCCCACCTGGATCATCACTGCCCAGGGGCAGATCTGTCTCCCCCATCGGAGCGGGAGCCGGTGAGGGCTGGGCCAGGTCTGGCACTCATCACCCCTATGTCACTAACACTGCTCCGGGCAAGGCCAGGCGCTGTTCAGCTGGACTGTTAAGGGGCCATGGCGCAGGATGGCAACTGACCAGCGACACCCCAACCTTGCTGTTTTCCTCTTTTCTTATATTCACATGATTAGTCACATGGCCTTATTTACATACAATCGGCATACACCGGAGCAAGAGGGGCCAGGGTGTGGAATGAATTTAGGGGCGGGGCAGGGGGTGTGTCTCTGTGCGATCTGAGGCTCATTGCGCCAGGGGTGGCAGCATCTTCAGCTGCACCTGGTCCTCCTGGGAGGTCGGAGCTGCCACCCAGCCGGCGGCCGTGACCCTGGCCACGGTGCTCCTCTTGGAAGTGAGCGGGGTCTCCAGGGTGAGGGAGGCGTTGGCCATCTCCTGGGGCTTGTCGCTGGCCAGGAAGCGCAGCAGGTCGTGCAGGGCCTTGGCCACGTCGCTGCGGGTGCCCTCGTTGACCAGGCAGTAGAGGATGGGGTCGGCCACGCAGTTGAGGCTGGTGAAGGCCAGCGAGCTGTGGTAGGCGGGGAACACGCGCTCCTCGAAGCCGCAGTCCCAGGGCCGGCCCAGGTGCACGGCGCTGCGGGACAGCAGGAGCACGTGGTAGGGCGCGAAGCAGACCAGCACGATGGCGATGAGGCTGAGCGCCAGCCGCTTGATCTTGGTCTTCTCCTGGCGCTCGGTGGACACGCTGCCCCGCACGGCGCGCAGGATGCCGCGGTAGGACAGCAGCATGAGGGCCCAGGGGAACAGGAAGCCCACGAAGACGCGGTAGAGGTTCATCCAGGCCACCCAGCCCTCCATGGGGAACTTCTCGAAGCAGAAGGTGTGGTTGTAGCGGTCGCGGAAGAGCTCGTCATGGAACAGGGGCGCCGAGTTGGCGCCCAAGACGAAGCCGAAGAGCTTGCAGGAGCCGGGCCCGTGGATCCAGTTGTCGTGGTGCAGGAAGTAGTCCACCCAGAGCGGCAGCGTGCAGATGTACAGCAGGTCGGCGATGCTCAGGTTCATCAGGTACACGCCCAGCTCGTTGCGCTGGCGCACCTGGCGGTAGGCGGCCCACAGCGCCAGGCAGTTGGTGGGCAGCCCCACGCCGATGACGAAGATGTAGAGCGAAGGCGGGAAGAGGTGGTCCATGCGCGAGTCCACGTGGCAGCCCTCCCAGCTGCCGTTGCCCATCCTCAGCGCCGCCGGG